AGGGCAGTGTCACTGGCCCTCATATGTGGGATCCAAACCGGGGCCCTCTGGCATCCCAAGCGAGTTCTTAACCATCGCGCCACTCGGCCGGCCCACCTATTTCTTGTTTTTGAAGAGTTTTTTTCTCCTGTAGAAGTCCAAGCTCACAATCCTGGGACAAGATGGCGGAATTATTTTTTTCAGACTTTGGCTTGTTTTGCTACCTGAAGGAGCTCAGAAAGGAAGAGTTCTGGAAATTTAAAGAGCTCCTCAAGCAAGAACCTCTGAAATTCAAACTTAAGCCAATCCTGTGGCCTGAGCTAAAGAAGGCATCACGAGAAGATCTAGCAAAGTTGCTGGACAAGCATTACCCAGGAAAACAGGCATGGGAGGTGACACTGAGCCTGTTTCTACAGATCAATCGGAGTGACCTCTGGACCAAGGCTCAGGAAGAGATCAGCAGTAAGTATGGGATGCAGGGGCACTGGCCATGGGGGAAGATGTGTCTAATGGGAGCTTGTAATAATGAAGGTGATATTGTTATTGAATTAAAGGCCATCCCTCTATCTGTTGAGAATGTGTTATGGGTCAATGGGAGCCTCGGAGGTGGTAGAAGAATTGCAAGTCACCTCCGCTCATACGTGGGCCAGTGATGGGCTGTGGGTGGGTAGTGTCCTGAGACAGAGTGTCATCTAAGTTGTGTCCCCATTTTTCTGTCCCAAGATGAGTCCATGCTATTACAGGAGAGGCCCTGTGACTTAGCATCTGCATTATCAGGTCTGCTGAAATGGAATTCCATTGTGGTAGTTGTCCGTCCTCCTGACCAGACCTGCTCGAGGACTAGGCAGAGCCCTAACATTAGGAAATAATTATAAGAGGGCTTATATTCCCCAGTGTGCAGTAAGCATATTTTATGCATAATGCCTTTTCGTTCTCACCATGACTTTGAGGTTTGCAAATGGGAAGACCGAACTGTGTCCTCTCATGTTGGATGACTTTTCCAAAAGGGACAGATCTGACTCCAAACCAGTTATTTTTGACTCATTGAGGATTCACACCTTCCTCTGGGAGGATACTCCTTTCTCTCCAGAAAATAAGAAGATGAATTAAGTTGTAAGTCCTGGCAAACAAAGAGACAAAATGTCAGACAAGTCATTTTTAAAAATTTCACCTTTAAGACAGAAAATTGAGAGCTGCAGGGTGATTTCTCCTTATTTTACATGCTATTCTGTCATTGATTTTACCTATCTGTGGCATTAGATTTTTCCGTTCTGATAAGTAAACTGAGATTCAGATGGATTATAAGTCTCAGTGCAGAAGCAGTTCAGTCAAGGCCTGTCTCCTGGTGGATGGATGTCTAGCCAGTGGCTAGGACTGTGATTGCGCTGGCAGTTCTTCAGCAGCGAGCCCCATTGGGTCCACTTGCCACACTCCCCTCAATGGGCCTGTAAGTCCACAATAAGCCCAAATAGATTTAGAATGGTTATCATTCACTGCACAATAGGAAACTTGCGCTGCATGGTGACATCAATTCCTCTTGTCCTTGAGTCTCTTGGTGGCACTAAGGGCTCAGGTAGACACTGTGTCACGGTGGGTCTGTGTCATAGGTGAGGAACCCAGAGAGCTGATCTTAGGTAGTGACTGCTGACAACCCTGCCCCTCTTCCCTTCCAGAGAGAGAGAGAGAAAGAGA